AGACACAGAGGGTACTCATAACGAACATTTACGTAAAAATTCATAATACTTTAATTTTAAAATATAAAAGAGCGCCTCAAAAGTTTTTCGCATATCTTGTAGACTTACATTTATAAGTATGTGTAAAAGTGTATTTTACCAGTATTATATTAATGGAAGGACTGGACAAAACTTCAATATGTTTTATTATATAAACAGGTTATGAAATTTACTGAGATGATATCTTGCAAAACCTTCAATTTTAACACCGAGAATTGGCGGTTAAAGTTGCCCATCCAGACGTTGCGAGATACTCTAACAAGAGGCTGAGTCAGTGCGAGACTGGAAAAAAAGTGCCACAATCTGCGTGAAGAGGGATTGATTTTTTTTTTTACAATGAGGATGAAACTTGATGCGCCAGGAACGTCGTCATTGAAAGCGTTACAAAAGTGATACGCAAAGTATGGTAAATAAGTACTGTTTTGCAACATACAGGCTGGAATTCTACGAAAGCAACCAGAAAATATCTTTTGGTGAATTCTGACAGTTTTTATTCGTTGCTGCACCGCATTCGTTCCCCTGCCTAAATTTCCGACCTCACTCGGTTCAGTACTTCTCCTCCAAACCCCGCTAAATTGGTCTAAATTGGCCTTAAGCTGATCCGCGAGACTTTGCACCATCTCAGATGATGTCCATTCAGCTGATAACTTCAGATTTAAAAAAATATTTTTCAGCCATTCAAAAATAATGGCCATTTATCGTCAGATGGTCAATAAAACATGGTCATGTGCAGCAAAACAGCTGACAAATGAAGCGTATCTACGCTCACTGACATGTTCTATTATGTACTTACCTGAGATAACGGATGTTTTCTTCATTTTTGCATAAGCTTCGTTCTTCGATAAGAACTCTCCTCAGATAACTCTCCCTACGGGTTAAGCGTCTACCCGCCTCTCTCTCTCTCCCCTTGTCACGGCTGCAGTTCCCGAGATATCGACCAAATGGACGTGTTATGACAGCGTGTAAAACACACCTGGCTGTTCCGTAGCCTGTGGACACACCCTCCGTTACAAATGAGCACAAGATGTGGACAAGGGCGAATTAACTCTAAATGTATTTTTTCATATTTATGTTGCGTAGTGTGAATTCATGGATATTTGTCTAATGGTTCTGATTCTGAGCAGTTGTTTTATAAACAATTTTCCTTTAAAAAATGAAAATGTCTTACATGTCGGTGCGGGTGTATCATCAATTACAATACGGAAATGTATGACGGATCGATAGCTTTGGCAAGCAGAGGACCAACTCTCTACTGCATAACATGGATTAAGTAAAAGGCAGACTATTGATGTAAAACCATTGATTGTTTTTGAAACAAAAACTGTTATTTTCAATCGATAACGTCGCATTGCCAACGCGAATAATATATAATTATAATCAATCAGTGAATGAATACTTTTAAGTTGACCAAGTCAACAGAGAAAATGCTTGGTTCGGTCACTTAAAAAGTTAAAAGTGAAATGCCATTGCCACTTGCTTTAATGATTTGGCTTTTTCAAATAACTTGGTATTGCTGAATAAGAAGTGTTTACTTGCTAAAAACATTTTATTAAGGACATAATTATACCCTGAAATATATGTTTTGAGTTCAGATTAATCAAGGAGTTCTATTATAACTCCTTGGATTAATATACAAAAACCCAAGATTTTTCCTCGGCAATGTTATTGGTTTATTACTTATTAGACCTACTGGCACGTATGAAGGTCCTATGCTGATTAAAATATCGATAAGAGGTATATATACTGAGTACACACACTAGACAATAGAAGTGTCACCCCCACTGAACCAATACTTTGGGGGAGAAAAATGACTGTGGAATGATATGCTCCTGGTATGATTTTATTAACATCAAATTTCACAAAAAGACCAACAATACAATACAGTTCCATGGTACAGCGGTTTTATACTCTTTAGTCACATTATAAGTAGACCAGGCTTTATAACTTTGATTACTCTGATTCAGGGGGTGACACTTCTATTGTCCAGTGTGTGCAGGTGGCATTGTTTTCATGTGTCGTTTTTACTTGTTCAAGTGCCTGGAAGTGTATAATACTGATTGGATGTAGATGGCAATCAGTCCGGGAATAACACCCTAACCACCGCAGATAAAATCATCGAAACTGGTGCAATTATTAACAAATGTGTGAAAAACAATCGGTTCCGACAGATTTGTAAGACCATCAAACCGACGTAAGGCGGTCTTGTTTCCAAAGACCCAGTGAAAATTGGTAAAATTTAACGGTATTATAGAAATAAAATCTAAACGACGTATGAAAATCGGCCTCCCCGCTCCAAACTATAGTACTCATGCACAGCCCCTAGCCGCTATTTTTGATTTTTTTTCTGAGGCTACGAGCCATGCCCACGATTTTTGCCTTACGGTATAAAAAGGGAGAGAAAAAAAATAGAATATGACATTTTCATTTAAATAAACGCTGATATGACATCATAAGCAAAATGATCATACTTTGCCCGAAAACAAATTAAGTCCATGAATATTATATGATAATGTTTTTACAATCAGTATTGCATATAGGCGTTTTGGGTTTGATTTTAGCTAACAGGATATGTCCTTGTCCTTATAAAAATACTCTTCTGCACTCCGATTTTTTACCGTTTAAAATGTGTAACTTAGTAAGACGATACCTTGATCATTTCACAATAAGGAAATTTATTGAGTTTCAATACCCAAACTAGCATCCAGATGACAGAAGATAAAACGTGTGCAAATCTATTATCGTAAATAGGTTATACTAACACGGAGACTGTTGTTTTTTTCAACTACTAACGTTGCATAAATAATGTATGTCAGGAGTGAGTGTTAACAGGTCTATCCATCTTGCGACGCGGCCTTTAGTCCATAAAACAGGGATGCGATTAAATGATACAGTTACTGATACGAAGGTCGATATGTAGTGACGATGGAAAGTGTATAGGCTTGATGCCCACAAAAGAACGATATCGGTAATGACTGATAATAAATTAACGGGTAAACTACAGAGAGATAGAATTTGGTATATGCGTGGGAGCGGGGAGATAATGTATAAAGGGTCCTGTCTTATTATTAGGACAAGGACATGCGACGCAGCTGGGAGAAATGGGTCCATTTACCAATTTGCTATGTTAATGATAAAAACTTAATGACCAATCTTAAACTTAATGACCAATCTTAGGCCAAATAGGCCTACTTTTTTTACAGAGGATTCCAATGCGCCAAGGTGTGAGACAATAGTAGGGGCCTACTTTCCCATTCAAGTCTCATCTAACACAGGTCACGTTGGTTCGCTGACACGATATAAACATTTTATTAAGATAAATAAATAAATAAAACAAATATGATAAATTATCGTACTCTTAAGTACAGTTATCAGTCGAGTTATCGTATTTGTATGTTTTCTACGCCAGTAAGGTCTCAAATCAGACACAAAACATATTTTCAAATGATTTTTATGTGCTTTTGGTGATAGTGATATGGTATGCAGACCCAGATAGAAGATAAGGGGAAGCAAGTTTGCACCCCCTCGAAAATTCCCCAGATGCACAGAATAGTTTAACCAACCAAAAGTATATGAAAGTATAAGAAAATTTTCTTGAAAAAGAACTTTTTCTTCTATCAAAACTTAATGTTGTCCAAAATTGTCTGCAGGTTCTTTGATGTTCATGTTCAGCATTTGCAGTTTGAAAGCTGGACATATCTCAACATTTGCATGTAGCCTATCTTTTCGATACAGCCAACTTTCGTACATGATAATTGTTATTGTAACTCAAAGAGAAAGAGATAACATCTCTTCATAAAATATTCAAAATTTTATTCTAAATAAATTGTAAACAACATATAGAAATAAAATAATCTATATCTTCTCACCAAAACAGTGGTTATCGTAATTATTGAGAAATCTGTGCTTGACCACAACGTCGCGCCGTAATTATCTCTTTTAAGAGATTATCACAAAAACCACACTTGTAAAAAATGACTGTTTTAAGATGACGGAACGGATTCATTGACCATTAAAAAGTACGGGATTTACTCCAGGAAAATCCGCACTTTTCCAGTCAAAATAAAGAGCTGTCATCCCTTAAATAATTATGCACCGGTTGTGTAATTTCAAAATGCACTTTTCGACAAATGCCTAAAATATATATAGTGAATTGACAGTACATTCATCAGCAATGTTGAAGATTAGATATCATTAAATGAAAAACAACAGAAAAAAAACACATGGAGGAAAGAGAAAACAACTTGGAGGGGGCACCCGGATTTGAACCGGGGACCTCTCGATCTGCAGTCGAATGCTCTGCCACTGAGCTATACCCCCGTGCTTATACATCCATGAAATTTTAAAATATATATATGTGTCAATTTATCAAATGGTCATTCTGGATATTTCTTTACAAAAAGATGTTATTATGAAAGTTTATTTGGAAATACTACAACAAATGCATATGAGATTCCTCAAAAGTACTTGATATAGTCATTGTTTTCATCTAGGTTGCAACAATCAAAATTTCTTGGCAAGACAAGCCCAAACCTGTATTTTGAACTCCCATCTATAACCATTAGCATTTAAATATATAAATTTTATCCCCATTACTTAAAAATGCTTATATCATTTGTTTGGATTTGTTTATCGGTTAAATCTAATAAAACGCGATTAGCCTTTCTTGACTGCGTCGCCCTCTTTAACTAGGACTCTCTGTAAACAATATTAATGGCTGTGACTTTCACGTGTCCTGGTAGCAAACTGGTTTTCGAGAGGTCTTGTTTCCTCCACAAAAATTCAAGACATGTAACAAATGTACTTGAACACCATTTTAACTATGGGGTAAGCGTCTAGTAGTTTATGAACTTTCAGATATGACAACTACAGCACAGATTCCCCAGGGGGTTTGCCGCTTACCGAAGAAGACTTCAGTTCAACTTTATTTGCAATGTCAGTGATACAACGGGGGCGTCTNCCAAAAAGAATGAATTTCAAGCCTTTTATCTCGGCAGGAATTTCCTCAGGTGAAATGTTCATTACCACCGGAATGAGGACATCTCTTTTCGCATAGAGGGCTTCTTGCATGGCATATTGCAGCTCTTGTTGACACCATCGACTTTGGACAAAACTCTTGGACAGGAACGCAACGGTATGTTTGGATGCAATGATCGCTTCACTTATGGAACTAATCACTTGTGTTCCAGGTATGAGGTCTTCTTTGGCATACCAAAGCTTTACCCGCAGTTCTTTTAGCTGGTGTAGAACCGGTTCTATCGTGGCTTCATCCTCGCCGCTGTACGCAATGAACGCGTCGTAGCAGTATTGATCCAAGGACACACTGGGAATATAAAGTGAGTCGTTGCTGTGATAGAAATACACTCGTGTATATACACACACACCTTTGTTACAATATGTATATGCACAATAAGCAAGGGCGCAGGCGTTTATGCTGTTTATGCAACCAAAATTGTAGAAAATGTTTGTTGTTAACAAAGCAGTAAATGTAAATACTTAAATATCTTTAAAATACCTGAGTGCCTTCAGGTGAATAAAAATAGCCTGAATAATTCTATTACTAGCTCTAACATTCAAAACTGCACTCACCTAGCATCTTGTTGGTCAGTGGTTGCCGAATGCGACGTGTGCATGTGCCTCGCAGTGACCAAAGTTCTACATCGTTCTTCAAATTCATCAGGGGTCATGTTTAAAATTTCCGTCACCACCCCAGCATAACAGTCCCCTGCTGCATCTGTATGGGAGAATAATTTAAAGTAGATATCATAAGATGTGGAAATAGATGTGATAGGCCTACACATGTAGGTTGTGCACAATCATGAATCATTAGATGCTTTATAATATTTAATAACGACACGCTATTCAATATTTTTGGAAATAAAAGCAAATGTTTACATCTTTGATGCAGTAACTTACCCGTTCATAGGCAGACATATAAGACTCACATTCACTGTCACTTTTTAAAAAATTAAATCTTGACATAAATATTCCATCAGTCTCCACGGTAAGCCTACCATCCACAATACGTGTACACGTACATACACATAAGAACAAATGATAAATCATGCATTGTATAATTATATACACTTCTAATCTTACAGTCCAATTATTGACAGTTGTTACAACGATATTATGAAATATAATGTATTTTTATGTATATCAAAATAATAAGTAAACATTGCTTTTACTTACCGGAAAGTCGTGGAAGGTTTGCAGACTGTAGCCCGACCCTTAAATCTCTAATGTTTTTATAATTGTTCTTGTTGACCCAGTCTTTCAGTTCCTGCACCTTTTGGAATTGTGAGACTTCAGGGAAGTTTGTGCTCAGGTTGGTCTGGTTAATAATGGTGTATTCAGCAGAATCTAATAGTTCAGCAAGGCGCTCCAAAGCCCTGGTCAGTACAAACCTCTGTAAATATGGCATCAATTAAATTATTTTACAGGAACTGGTATATTTGATGAAACAGTTATTAAAATATCGTCCATGAACTCAGGACGTGCGCAGTTATAACCCAGGACACTTGACCTCTACACATCTGCCTTCCTATTGAATCATAATTGATCATATAATTTAATAATATTGAACCATAATTGATACATAATTTAATATCTAAAAATACACATAAATGTGGTAAAGAATAAACAGCTTTGAAACAATTACTCGAATTTATGTATTTTTCAACTGCTGATCGAAACTCTATGTATCATAATCCAATGCTATTCAAGGGCTAAAGGTTGACCACGTTCACACCGCTACATGTATACCTGTACCTGTATATCTGGTATTTCAAAACGCCTGAACAACTCTACTACGGCAGCATGATCTTCGTCCTCTGCCACCATTCTTGGTGTCTTTCTCTCCTGTAATAGCACAACTTGTGTTACTTACTGTATGAGGAGGGAAAATGTAGCCTTTAAGTGCAGTCTAGTGAAATGGTACTTTCCCGTAATACGGTCTTAATATGATTTCTTAAAAATGTGTAGCCGTATTCCTGTGCTCGGGCTCTTTAACACTCACCTCAGCCTGTATACTGGTATCCGCCCCGTGTTGGAGGAGAAGCTGAACACACTGCGTGTGGCCGCGCTTGGCAGCAATGTAAAGTGATGTCCACCCATTCTGAAAATATGGACAAACAATGTGAGGGAAAATGTAGCCTTTAAGTGCAGTCTAGTGAAATGGTACTTTCCCGTAATACGGTCTTAACAGGGGCGGATTTAGGCCGTCTTCTGGGTCTTCCGGAAGACGGTCAGATTTTCAAGTTTACATTGACGGGTATCTAATTTTTTCTGTCGGAAGACGGTCAAAAAATAGAGGATGGATCAACAAAATATAATATGGAAGACCGTCAGAAAATATCTCTGGATCCGCCCCTGCTTAATATGATTTCTTAAAAATGTGTAGCCGTATTCCTGTGCTCGGGCTCTTTAACACTCACCTCAGCCTGTATACTGGTATCCGCCCCGTGTTGGAGGAGAAGCTGAACACACTGCGTGTGGCCGCGCTTGGCAGCAATGTAAAGTGATGTCCACCCATTCTGAAAATATGGACAAACAATGTGAGTAAAGAGATAATCCATGCCGGAGGATCATGTTTATTTCCACTGGGTGTTTAAAGCAATCATTTACAAACAAAATCATTTGGCACAAATTTTCAGTGTGATATGTACAGGGTGTAAACAATGTAAATCGATACATGCTTTAAGATAATTAGTTATAACTTAAAAGATCGCTAAGCAGGAGATGTAAACCTGGCACAATAACTTCTAATGTACATCGGAAAAGACATGTAGTTATTCGCAAGAGTAGCAATATTACTATGCTTAGACTATTCTGCGCTCACCTCAGTCTGTATATTGGTATCAGCCCCGTGTTGGAGGAGAAGCCGGACACATTGTGTGAAGCCAAAAAAGGCAGCCCAGTGTAGTGGTGTACCCCCATGCTAAGAATATGGACAAACAATGTGAGTAAACAGATAAGCCATTTTGCAGAATCAAATTTATTGCCACTGGGTGTTTAAAGCAAACAGTTATAAACCAAAATCGATTAGCAAAAACAAATATCACTGTGATATATAAAGGATATTAACGATGTGATTCGATGCATATTTTAAGATGATTTAAGAGAAAGATGCAGAGTATGTAAACCTTGTACAATAACTTTTAATAAACTTCGAGAACGCAAGTGTACCGATATTGTTATGCTTAGACTATTCTACACTCACCTCAGGCTGTATACTGGTATCCGCCCCGTGTTGGAGGAGAAGTTGGACACATTGCGTTCGGTTGTGCATGGCAGCCAGCCAAAGTGGTGTCCACCCACTCTGAAAATACGGACAGTGTGAGTAAACAGGTAATTTATATTTCAGAATCATGCTTATTTCCGTGTGGTGCTTAAAATCATCAGTTATTATCAAAGTCGGTCAGCAGAAATTCTCACTATGATATGTATAAACAACGTCGTGTCGAAGTATATGTTTGGGACAATAGGCTAAGAAAAGAATTTATAGTTACCAGTCCCAAATCAAAATTACTAATTGGCAGTAGAAAGTGACATATGGTAACTCGCAATGTGAATTTCGTTATGTGACCTAATTAATGATTAAATGTTTATATCATTCTGTTGCTCTACAATACAGGTTGCAAAGTTCGCCTCAAATTCTTGTGGATATGTTTAAACCATTATTATTATAAATCAATAGTAGCTTAGGGGTAAACAAAAAAATGAAATGAAAAATGAAACATGGCAAGCCAAAGCATATCGGTGAACGAAATCGTAAACTGCACAATTTATAATCTCTTATTGTGGTATGTACACGGAAGAACAGAAACATATGGGTTTCTTGCTACCAAAATTCATGTTTTCCTGTACTGTATATCGATATCTTGTCCATTCCATAAATGTGAATGTTGTTCACAGCTACTATTATTATGATAATATCATAAAGCCCGTGCAGACAGTATGGAGTGAGGCAGTTACTAAGAGAATGTCCACGGAATTTGTAATGGGTCGTTTCTACAATAGTGTAAATACTTCAGTTTGTATCCTTACTGTAATGATAAATAGCTAAACGATATCGTGACTAGTGACAGAGTAATTAACGTTGTTACCTCGTCCTGCTGGACATTGATGTCGCACTCCCTGGCAGTCAGCAGTTCCTTTAAATACTCAATATCTCCATCCAATGCAGCCCAGAGAAGACTTTCGTCATCCATACTGGTTGGTTGCTATATACCGTGTACCGGTATATATACTATATACCGATATTCTTACGAGGGCAAAGTACGGTATCTCTGAAATAAGACGCAGTGATCATTACAAGATAGTGATAAAATCCGTTTTACCATATCATCTGTCTAAAAATGAACAGTTCAAGGGCATACATGTATCAAAAACAAGGACAGTAGTGTTGGGGGTATGAAACGCATAATTTTTGTTAACTGGATAGGGTTTTACCAAGGAGTTATAACTCCTTGGTTTTACTATCTAAAAGTTTTTTGAAAGCCAAAGAGGTGGTGTATAGGCTACATGTATTGCTTCTCTCTGTTAGAGTGTGTGTGTGTTTGAGCGTACACGTGTGTGTTCCTCTGTCAAAGTTTCCTGTGAATAGATATTCCTGGTATAGCTTTCAATCATGGGCGTCCGCAGGGGGGTCAGTGGGGTCACTTGATCCCCCTGGAATTTTGGCAAGCACATTATTTGCGGGTACCCAGCCAATCATTACCCCCCCCCCCACCCCCTTCGATGACTTTGACCCCCTGGAAAACTTTCTGCGCACACCCATGGTTCCAATCACAACAATAATACACAGTAGGCAGATTATATGAGTAGAAATATAGGAACGTGTCGTCTTGTAGGGCCTACATGAATATAGTAATACATATTTACAAAAGCAGTATTGATTTGCTTTGCCAGAGAGTTTACCGTGGCCTCTACGATGCTTGGGTCGGTGTATTGTGACCGTCCCTTTTCCTTCTTCCTTCATACACTGATTCATTCGTAATGCAACTAAAAATCTAATGACTTTTAATATCTTAATTTTCATAACAACATATTCACCCGCAAACAGAAAGTGACGCCAAATTTCCCAGCTCGACTACTAAGGGCAAACACTTCCAATCTTTATGATGCATTGCCACGAATTCTTACCCAGATGTTAAAGGACAAGGTTCACGGAAAAATCCATTTCTCGAATTTTGAAGATTCAGCACTCAATCTATACACTAGAGGTATGTTTTAATCGATCCCCGCCATTTAAAAATTATAAAAACAATATATTTATAGTGAAAAAGCGTTTTAGTAAACCTCACCTCAATTCTTACAGTGGGATAGCCCACGTGACACCCATGTGCGCGCGCAGAAAAAAACGCGTGGGGACAAACTCCCTAGCAACCGCGATCAGTTCATGTATTAGACGTGGAGCAAGTAACATGCCAAAAACTTGTCGTGAAGCTGGCTGTTGTTCAAGAAAATACAAAGAGAGTTAGAGTCAAGTTCTCTGTTTTACCTAATGAGAAGTTTAGAAGAGAGAAATGGCTGTCAGCGATAAAAAGAGCAAGAGTAAATAGTGATGGCATTAGGTCTAAACTTTGGTCGCCGCGAAGAAGTTCTCTAAATGTCTGTTCCCTGCATTTTTCACAGGTTAGAGTCATAAGATGGGTTTTGCATTCTCTTTTACGTAGAATATTATATAAATATACCGCATCTGTGGTAATGACAACTGTTGGCATGGGTAAATCAACGATTATATCATTGTCCAAATAATTCGAGACAGTCGTGAAGATTGTGCAGCCTTTTTTATATTTTTTTCTTTCTGGAATTTTACAAAACTTGCCAAGGATGACACTAACAGCCGTTGAAAGCTGTTTGTGTCAGATCGACCAGCTTTCTGTTTATTATGTCTATTATTGCAAGGTAAGATGTTCAGGTGCCCACCTGTGTGATAATGATCAGTCATGTCTTTGAGTTAGATCAGTTATGCTGTTAGTGTCAGTTCAATCAGTTTAATGTGAATTATGCAAGGAAAAGTGCTTTAATTGGCGTTCACCTGTGTGATAATGATCAGTGTAAAATAATTTGGGGTTGACACCTTGATCGCACAATTACAGACCAGAGCTGTACAAGTGTTAAAAGCCTATCTGAATTTAAATTTGGTTTAAGTAGTTCTTTTGATGTCAAGCCAGAACAAAGCTGGCGTCAATCACGTGAAATCTTAAGGGCAAGTACTAGTCTTGTAACAATAAAAAGGGCAAATAATGACAAAGTTTTAAAAAATTCACTATGAAAAATGCAAATAAGTAAACAAAACAAAAAAATCAGCAATCGTGCACACCCTGATAATGTGCCAAATGTTTCTCCTACTGAACATGTGTACCACGAGTGATCAGGTGATCCAAAAGGCAGAGATGAGAGTGGATCGGTATGAAAGGATTTTATTAACAAAATGGATAAATGGTTCACTTTTGAGAACTTTGAACAAAAAAAAAAAAAAAAAATTGTTCCAATTTCAAATTTGTTTTTATTCTTTTCTTCTCTTCACCAGTTACTTGCGTGGATATATGCAATCCAAATGCACATTTCAAACATCCCGGACATTATTTATATTTGGGATATGTGAATAAAATATTTATCATAAAACTACTTTATTTAACAAAAAATTAAAACAAAAACAAAAGTGATTCATATACGTTATGATAATACACACGAAACAAAGGTAATTCTAAGCATCAGATTCATTTTCCTCTTATAAAAATGTAACACTAAGCACTGACATCTTAATACACATTTTGCACTGTGTGATTGCATTATACTTGAATAAAATGCTGATTTTCCCATGAAAAATAGAAAAAATGAGCGCTAATAGCCATCAACAGACATTGCATAATGTGCTACTGCATTATATTTTCCAATCGGATATGCAGTGCATAAAATAATTTCCCATGAAAAAAGCTCTTACATTTGTATACACTTATTGCACAATGTACGGCTGAGAAAAAACTGAACGTCTATTTTTATCATGTACACATATATATTGCACAATGTATGGCTGAGAAAAAAAAACAGAGCACTTATATTCACACACACATATTGCATAATGGCTGACTGAGAAAAAAACTGAGCGCTTACTAGTATATGCAATTGCACAACGTGTGACTGAGACAAAAGTTGACCACTTAAATTCAAACACACATATGTGGGACTGAAAAAAATGAGCACTTGTATCCATACACTCTGAGTCACAACATGGTATGCTGTCTGGGCCCAACAAGATGTGAAGAAGGTGTGAGCTTCCAGGGAACGATAGTTTTCCATGGCTTCCAGTGAGTGCAACCCTGAAAGTAATTCCAACATTTTTCCAATTTTAGAGACAGGTAATGAAGTGCTGTTCAATAAAAAGACACACACTCGCTTGTACAAAAAACAGACAATTTAAAATCTGCCTCTGTATTTCAAATTAACCTTGAAGTAATTAAAAACTCGGTGATCTAGAAACAAACAACAAAGGGGCGGTCAATAACAGTACTACATGCAACCAAGGAATTATCTCCTTGATGCAACTTAGTGTCTAATATCACTGATCAGGCAAGAGGATTACTTTCTTAGTAAGAAATGCATGCTAGTAAGGAATGTAAAATTCAATTTTTTATTCTTTATTCAATTCTTTATTTCCGCTCATCAATTCGTTCAAACTAAGATAGGGTGAATAAAAATATTTAGTGTGATATCAGTGCTTGGAACATTATGATAAACATCGTCATCAGTACGTTTCATTGGAATTTTTAACGCTTCCTTCTCCATAAATACTGGTAACTAGATAACCAAACACCTAAAAAAAGCACAAAAAGTAGTGCTGATCTTATTTAGGTAGACTTTTTAAGTATATACTTACTTGGGGCCTTAACCAAAAAGATGAAAATATCTAGAGTTTACACGTCTGGCGATTGTTTGGGATCATTTTCCACTCATCTGCTGGAAGCTTGTAAGGACAAATATCATGCCCACAAAGATCAAGTTTTGCCCTATACCTGTTCAGTGAATCTGGACGAAGTCCTTCCTCATATTCAAACTCCATTTTCACTCTTGAATTATATGAAAATCGCTTTTTTTCGCAGAGCTTTTTGGTCAAGTTTTCATTGTAATACAAGGCGAGATGGCGCCTAACGACCGATTTAGCCCCCACGCGGTTGGTTGCTAGGGACTATATCCGGTTGTGACGTCATTCCGACTGGGAGAATATAATGTTAAAATTCAAGCAATGTAGGTCATATGGAATAATTGAAACAAATTGCATTTGATTATGTAGTCTATTTGTGACAGTTTAGTGTTTGTTTTATGTTCATATTTCAACTTTTTTCTGTGAATATTTTTATTTACTAGTACTTAGACCAACCTTTCTTTCAGGGATTCTCATTTTAAACCTGACGAAAGACACATACCAAGAATTAGGCTTGGTAGGAAAACCCACAGTCTTTCAAAAGAAGTTACCAACAAAATATGGTGAGCCTTATGTTAATTTTTTGCACAACTTTCTTCATGTAGAAAAAACATTTTGGTGTATAAAAAAAAAAAAAAAAAAAAAAATATATATATATATATATATATATATATATATATATATATATAACTCATTTTTTTGTATCTAAATTTGGAATTATTTAGATGACATTTATAACCATTAACCAAAGTTAAGAGATCTGCAGCTCAAATATGGCTGATCCATTTGAAAACTTACCAAGTAGCTCTTCAGGAAATTTTTCAGTATCTACTAGGGGATTATGTAGCAAGCTTTTAGGTCGGTTGGCCAGATTTGATCCGTAGATCTGTTAGTCTGTGAATCAATTTCTTCTGAATGCGTCCTTATTCTTATTCTCCTTCAATCTAACATGGACACGAAATGCTGGCCAAGCAGAACAGAGCCTTTTGGCCAGTCTAAATCTTCCCAGATAATTTCATTTAATCTTAAAAAATATTAATTTGTATGATTTTTTATGCTTCAACTAAAACAACAAATTTGGCTGTTTGATTAAAAAATAGAACAAAATAAAAATAATAATTATAAAAGAATTGAAAAAATCATGAAATAATTAGAAATGTTAAAAGTTATTAAAAATATTGGAAATGTTTGATTTAATATTCATGTTGTATTTGTCTATTTTATCAGTTGTAGAAATAAACCTTACTGAAGAATATTTCACTCCTGGAAAGAATTATTATGAGCGAGTTAAGTGGTGCCTTACTGACCGACTGAGCCTTGTTTTTGACTTTCTTGTTGCATGGCTGCCACATGGTAAGGATACATATGAATACCACAGCTGAAAAATGATTACTTATATATATATATTACACATGCTTACTTTCCTGAACTTATTCTACATTTAGTATTTGAAAATTGTTGTCTTAGCCTAAAACCAATCCTTAATTTGACTTTTTTTTTAAAGATTAGTGCCTATTGATTTTAATTAATTCAAAATTTACAAATACACCTAGGGATAGAATGTATGTACATGTAGGATTTTGAACCTTTTTTGTTGCTAACAAATTGATAATCAGTATAATATAATAGTATAATAATGATATTTATGATGTGCACAACCCTACACGTCTATACGTGAATCCTTAAATTTTGAATATTAGTTCCACTTTTTGATGCAATGAATAAAATATATGCCAAGTTACCTCAGATGTATATGATAACTGACTATAAAAAAGTTTGAAGCCTTATTGAGAAATTATAAATTTCAGTCAATATTGTTTGTTTCTAATTTCATGCAGAAGACCAAATCTCACAGAGCTCAGTCCCTGCGTATCTTTGTAACAAGGGGTTTCGCAGTAGAGCCTTCAAAGTGAGTGAGGAAATCACTTTCAAAAAGGATGTTAAGTATCCTGTCATAGACAGTAATGACTTTGATGGACACGGTGAAGGCGGGAACAGTGACAATGACTGCCCTATCACAAGCAGCACAAAGTATGATGAGCAGAAGAAGGGCGGGACCAAGTCTGATGGACAGCTTAAAAGTGGAGATTTTCTCTGTTCATATACAGAATTCTGGGAGTGGCTTGGAGCATTCACATGTGGACTTGACTGGTACGTGTCAGGATAAACAAAAGTACAGCATAATTTTTTCTGTCAAACATTCAGAGATAAACGTCTTAAAGTAAATTTCATGTACTTTTATGTAATTTACAAAAGGTGTATTTGTACCCCAGATCAAAGCAAACTGTGTGTAAAGGTATCAAAACTTTTTCTAGCATGAAAGTGCATTTACACCAAAAATTTTAATTTGTTACAATCCAGCGACAGTAGCAATGGGTATTTTTATTCATGAAAAGAATATCAAAAAATTTAATATCAAAAACATACGTCCTTTCAGTGATGGTTCTCCAGATGACTTCCTCTCCACATTCTCATGTCCAGACCCTGTGTCCATCTCTCAAAGCTGCTGTCAGTGTAAATACAGGGGTTTTATTTTGCCTGGCACTATAAATTGCCTGATAGAAAGTTTAAGGTATGGGAACAGGATTCACATATGACAGCAGCATAGAAACATACCAGCCTAGTATGATATTCCAAATTTTCTTGTTTTTGTTTTAAATTTTTAAAATCTCAGTTACCTAGTTTGATGTACATTTCTAAAATATTTAACTCTGTCCTTCTTTTTTTTTTAATGTCACTTTTTTTCCAGAGACTACATGAAATCTTCCACATCCCCCTGGGCTTGTGTGACAGTCCACGGGTTTACAGACTCCCCCGTCTCCTGGAGGAGAAATGAACACGGCCACCACAAGGGAGGAGAAAACTTGTATACATTTGTTTTATTTCCAAGTGAAGACTACTGGCTATATATGGCAGTTGGAACACATGATATATGTCCGCCGTGATTGGGGGGAAATATTTGCTGGAGACTGAAAAATGTTTTAAATAATTTACTTTGGTTGAAGAATATGTCTATTTTTTCATGATGTTAAAAATCATGTTGAAGTTAAAGTTGTTATTTTGCTTAATGGGAAATATGTCCAGCTAGGGTATTTTTTAAAGAAGTTCACATACACAAATTTCCAAAGAGTAAAATGCAAACCTATGAAATCAAAATAATATTTTTTTTTTTGAAAGATTAAAAGTTGAGGATTTTACACAGAAATATTAGGCAAATATTGACTTTGTACTAAAGACACTTTAATATTTTAAATATCTGGTTCCAGTGGCTTTCTGGTGAAACAATTATAACACTTGGCACTGGAAATATATACATCTCTTTATTTAATATAAATATCTTCAAATAAAGAGTACCGTTTCAATAAGTTCATGTTTTAGAGCTGACAGTCTAAAAATGTCAAAGTAAATGTAAAACACTAGACTGAGCTTTATTTTATTCAACTTATGTTCAAAACAATAATACTACAAACATGATCAAATTATCTGGCAGTATAGTAAAACAGTTTACTAATTATGGCATGTATAATTTGGTATTTATCAACCTTTGTACATTTTGCCTTGGAAGCATCACAAAGATACCAGTCTGTGAAATTTGCTGTTTGCATGAACATTTTAAAATTGATATCTCAAAAAAATTCTAAAAAGAAAATTTTCTGTGATATAAATGTCTGTTTTCATCTATTTATATTAAATGAGGGAAACAATTTTTTAAAATCACTGAAGCAAGCAGCAAAGGCTGGTAGATACTTGCATAAAACACAATGAAAACCCACAGGTCTTAAATCTACCTCTGTTCTTTAATTTACTCCCAAACTAAACTTGCAAATAAAAGTAACATTGTTCCAAATGCCTGTAATCATTCACTCTGCTTAAGTGAGTCTAAATTATCTTTAAATCTTTAAAAGAGTATTTCCAAAGTTGGTTCTTGACAGAGTGGTTGTGTACCCCAAGGTGCAGTTTTAAAGTGTCCCAGTTTCTTCATATCTCCATTTTTGCACATGTAAAAATATGGAAATGAATAGGTTTCCCCATACTGTTTCTGAAACTCCTGAACTACTGCAATACTGGTAATGATGCCAATCAATTACCTTATCGTATTTATTGAGATTACAAATCAACAAATCACTTTCTCTGTCTATAAAACATGAAATCTCTGATCACAACATGCCCTGCTGACTTTCATGTTCTTGAAACTTTTAGATATGTACTTCATCAACTTTGAATACATTCCCACCTATGTACAGCATCCCCCTCTGCTGCATCATGCCATTCTTACTGACCATGCTGTTACTGTCTTTTGCTTTTCTTGTTACCAAGTATGATAGTGTTCTTTGCTAAAGAGGGCACTCTAGCTAGATGGGCAGGAAGAGGCAGTGTGGCATACCCAGCTTTTCCTAGGTTCTTTATGCCCTCTAATACATTGCGACCCTCAAATTTAACCCGGCAGCGGAACGGCTCCTTGTTCTTAGCAAAATGGGGTGCACAGTTACCCCCACGGAAATTGGTCTCCATCTTTGGGGGGAAAAAAGAACATTTCAGTTTACATTCTATTTAAGATTTAGACTATAACAGTGAGGAGAAGAAGAAAGCGATGTATGTCACTTATTTACCAAGAACCAAGCATAATCAGATGTTCTGTGACCTCTCTGACTGAAACCTCTCATATATACCAATAGTATATGGTTACCTTATATTCCAACCTTTCCAAAGATGGCTGTTCATTGGAACCAAATGTATCCTGAAGTATTTTCTTACTCCTTTGTTTGTCCTTTATGTTCTCATAGGTTATTCTCTCATCCAAAACTTCTTCCTCTTCTTCAACTAAGGAGGATAAATATATAAATAGACCCATCTATAAAAAATTGACACAGCAGAACATACCGAAGTTCAGCTATTTGACTTTTATTTTCACTTACAGAACTAGTTAAGCTCATCAATGATATTGGTAAAACACAAAAATCCATTTTCTCTGGCCAATCTAAATTAATCTTGGCAATTATCAAAAACATTCATCAGTTATGTGATACAATAGGATATTATATATCCTACTTAATTTCTCTTCAATCAGTGACCCAAGTCAGGTTGCTCAAAGAAAAAGAGCCCCATTTCCACCTTAGTTGAGGTTATTTCAACAAAAAAAGTTGCATTCTGCTGAATAATTGACCTGAGGTAGTGTTCATATTTAGTAAAAAGATAATGCTGCTACCTACCCCCATATCTACACACACAAACACATTGGACCCCCCCCCCCCCCACACACACACACACAATTTATCCAAGCATTTTTGATTGAGACCAGTGTCTCACTCAAAAATGGATAATAACACACTATTAAAAAAAACTTGCTTTTTCTTTTTCTTTTCTCTCCTCTGGCCAAAGCATTGATGTCCACCTGCCCAAGTCTGTAATGGCTAAAATAACCCTGAAATAAATAAAAATAAATAAGGATAACCCATCACTGCCAATAACTGCAAAACAAAAACTTGAGACAATGACAAAAAAAATAAATAGTTTACTGAGCTTAAAATGATACAATTTCACATTTAAAGTTCACTTGACTAATACACTCAACCAAAAAAAGATTGTTTTCAATAATAAAAATACTATGTAATGTAGCGGGAAATTTTCAGTGTATATAAAAAAGTAACAATTGTCCATCAATACTTGGTTAAAATATTTACCGTAGTTTATATGGTTATTTTATAATTATTCAAAATAACGATGTTAAATAACGATGTTTCTAAACTTTTTTGGCCAAGAGTTGATACAATCATAACACAATTTTTCTACCTGGCTGTACTTATTGAGAGACAACTGGGCCAAGGATGACAAGCAGTGCCCGCTCAGCATCTGTTCCTCAAGTTCGCCTGCACTGAGAGTGTTACTGAAGGCCTGAATATAAAAATTAATTTATAACATTATTTTGAAGATACAAAATGAGGTATTAGGTTTGAGATATAAACAGTAAAAACAACATTGGTGGTGATACAATTGCTACTGATGAGTAAGTCACGCCATCAAAGCTTTTTAATAAAGGGTTGATTTCATGCCTCCCATGTTTATTTATTTATTTTTTTTAATTCATCATGCCCACACCTGAATTATATACTCCCTGTTGGCAGCTTTGATAGCAGTTAAGATAAGGACAGGTGAGTGTGGGTAGTATACGGCATACACTGTGTTGTTAGCCTGGTACTTGGTGTCTTCGTGGATGTAGATTCTCACCCAGAGGGCCTTCTGGTGTTCCATAACTTGAATATCCTAAAATGAAAACATACCAGTTTATAACAAGGAGTCATCAGTTCTTGTTAGGGCACAAAAAATTGAACTTGATAAGGAGGGTATGATTTCCATTACCTGAGCTCTCAAATAGTCCATAATAAGATTTCTCTTTTAAATTGATGGCCCCAGCTCACAAGTTTTAAATAATAATGCACTGATAAAGTTGTGGCCTATAGAGTGGAGGTGGTCATCACCAAAGTAGAATTGAAGAAAAAAAAATAAATAAAAATAAATAAATACCAGCAAAAATGTAATGGGAGACTGAAAATCATAAAAAATATATCTATTTTAATCACATGTCAAGTATCAGATTTCAAGACAGCACAACAGTTTATGCAGCTTTTACTAATGAATTTTTCTGTAAAACATTCCTAGAGCTTGGAAAAATCAAACAAATTACTATGATGAAAGGAAAAACATAAAAAACATTGCAAAATTCAGATTATGATTAAAAATTACTCATAATTTTAAATGACCCAGATTGCAAAATTTAGATGATATAACTATTAGTACATTTGGACACTTTCACACAAACCAAAATGATTACAGAAAACTAAATAACAGACTGATGTTTCAGCAACTTTTCCTACCAGCATGAAGTATGATTCCAGTGCTGTTTTGAGACGTCTCCTAAAAGCTTGTGGTGTTTCAGCATAGCCTTCACTGCCTGCAGATGAGAATGATATATTTAACATATAACATCTGTTTTATTTTATTCATCTTTTCATAACATAGTTATGCTAGTGGGCAAGTGGAAAAATCGAATCGACAGCAAGGCTTTTCCCAGAGAACCATCCAGCTATCATTTGGATGGCCAAAGATGGCTGTACCGCTAATAAATTTTTTTGGGAAATGATGGGTTGTGGACTTGACTTGCTTGGGTTGGGTTCCCTGTAAATCAGTGACGAAATTACAAATTCACACTTTGGACCCCCTCTATCCCAAATCCTGGGGAAACCTCTGGAGGACAAGGACAGTGTTTTTTGTACTGGTCAGCACCATGCAAGATCCAACATGCAGCTAGGAAGTTACCCAAAGAGTGCACTTCTGCAACCAGTACCTCCCACACCTCAACTAGTATTACTATTTACAGACTTAACTTCAAGAGCTTTCCACGCACTTTGGACTGCATTCAAAGAGAGCAATTCTACATGTTATCTGCCCCCCCCCCCCCATACACACACACACACACACACACACACACACACACACACACACACACACACACACACTTCTATAAATATAATACAATTCTAACATTTTTCCCCAATAACTTACCATGCAGCTCAGTTGACAGCCACACTGTCCAGGTTTTACTAGAGGAGTGCTGCAGCATGTCTGGAAAATGCAGAACATAAAATATTTCAGCTGCATTTACCTATGTGGTTTTCATATTAATTTTATGTTTCAGACAGTTGAATAGTTCATGTTCTCATACAATAAAATCACAGAATGAAAGTTCTTAAAGTCATAATAACTCTTCATTTTGGCCGAAAATTGGATTTTCCTGGAGTAAACGGCAATTTTCCCATACTTACCAATGGTCAACAACCCCATTCCTGCATTCAAAGATAGTCCAGGGTTTTTTTCCTAAACGTTTGGTTTTTTGTTAAAATCTCTTAAGCAATTTTGGCAATTTTCCCATACTTACCAATGGTCAACAACCCCATTCCTGCATTCAAAGATAGTCCAGGGTTTTTTTCCTAAACGTTTGGTTTTTTGTTAAAATCTCTTAAGAGATTTTAACTGCCGGAGCCCTCTCTGACATTGCATAGTCATGCGATATCGAGCGATATTTTCTGGTGACCTACTTAAAACCGTGGGAAAAGCAGACAACAACAACACAATATAACAATAATATATGATTCATAAGATATATTCGTCTTATTGCTCAAAATGCATTTATATCTACAATGTGTGCACTTCTGGGCTTTTCGTTATCCGACACACTGTACAAAAACTCGCAACTTACGTCTACGGATTGCATCAGGCATTTGGCGCCATATGTTATTTTGGTCTCGAATAAACACGAGAATCCGCGTGACACCCCTACGTCATTGGCAACGGATGCCTTGACAATCGGGAAGAAAGGCATCGAAAGCCCTATTGACAAGCACAGATTTTGGTTTTACTACAATAACGGCCGTTTTAGTGGTAAAATGCAATAGAATATATTTCCATGCATTGTTAACAATGTATTTCTTGCGGAATTTTGAATCTCAAAGGAAGAGTTATTATTGCTTTAAATATAAAAGGCTTTACTTGACAAGCATTTTTTTTATATTTCCTCAATATTGTAAAAATGTGTTTTTACAGTTAAGAGCCAAATAAAACCCAAAAGCTGTAAGCGTTCTTTTAATTATTACTTAGTATCAGTTGGCTTAGTAAGAGCGCATTCTCAACGAATTAAGCCAGGCTATACAAAGCCGGTGACCTAAAAATGGCGGACGTACATGAAAGAAAAACCGCCTAATCTTTTAATAGTCTCTCCGCCTCCCCACACGTCGTCCCTGCGGGGTACAGTAATTAAATCTCGGCTCCGTTCGCCATGCGGAAGCTACCTGAGAAATATTAAGTGCGCATGCTCATCAGTTAAACTCGTGGTGAAGAAGGCATAGCGGCTGAAGGCGATCGAAAAAAAAAGCTCTTCTGTTCTATTATCTTTGAAAACAGAGACGAAAAAGAAATAATTTGGCCCGTAGAGCAGCAATGAATCGACTATCTAAGGAGATAATATCACCAGAGATATTCACGGAAATATTAATGTTCGGAGCCGAGATTTAATTACTGTACCCCGCAGGGACGACGTGTGGGGAGGCGTGTGAGAGGCGGAGAGACTATTAAAAGATTAGGCGGTTTTTCTTTCATGTACGTCCGCCATTTTTAGGTCACCGGCTTTGTATAGCCTGGCTTAATTCGTTGAGAATGCGCTCTTACTAAGCCAACTGATACTAAGTAATAATTAAAAGAACGCTTACAGCTTTTGGGTTTTATTTGGCTCTTAACTGTAAAAACACATTTTTACAATATTGAGGAAATATAAAAAAAATGCTTGTCAAGTAAAGCCTT